TCCCTCTGCCTTCCTCTCTCTCTCTCTCTCTGACAAATAAATAAAATCACTAAAAAACAAGAACAACAAATAATACAAATATCTGTTGATGGGGAAAAATATCACAATATAATGTTAAATTAACAAGCTACAAAACAAAGCAGTTACATCATTGTGTGGCAAAATATCATATACGTGTGTGTGTGTGTGTGTGCGTGTAAAACTGAAAACAAAACCCACGTTAACAATGGTTATCATTGGTGAAATTCAAGGAGAATTTTTCTTTTTCCTGTGGTATTCTTTTCCCTGTGAGTTTTTTGAGTTTTCTGGCTTGTGTAAGAAATACCTATATGGATAATTTTAAAACTTTTTACCATGAAATTTTTCAAACAAACACAAAAGTAGCAAGAATAGTATCACAAATCCCCATGTGCCCTCACCCAGCTTCAGCAGTCAATATTTTGCCAATTTGATTTCATCTATTTTCCCCAGCGTTTTTCTCCCATTGAGATATTTTTTTTCTCCTATCGAGATATTTTAAAGCAAATGCTAGGCATTATGTCATTTTATTCTAGGACATTTAAAAATTATTTTCTACGAGGGGAAACTCAGGAACTAGTCTCATGTAGGTTCCATGTGACAGTAAATGATTTCAATTTATTGATCGACACAGAATTTAACTTCGCATGAACTTGCCCACACACTTATCGTACGTCCAGGGTAGAAAGTCTGCAAGTTGGAAACCACTGCCTTAAAGCATGGATCCTTGTCAAATGCAGTTCCCCTTGGGAGAGGGTGTGAATAATTTTCAACCATTTATACCTCATGCTGAATAAATAGCAGATTTTCTGAAGGGGAGATATTTTTTAAATTAACTTATTTCATGGAGGTATAATTTATATCAGCAAAATGCACAGATCTTAAGTTTGATGAGTTTTGACAGACATATACACCAGTGTAACCAACACCCAGTCAAGATACAGAACATTTCCCTTATCCCAGAAAGTTCCCTGGAGCTCTTTTCTGAAGATCCTCTGCCCCTCCTCATCCCAGCAGAGCCAAGGCAATCTCTGTTCTGATTCCCGCATCAGGCTCCTTGCTCAGTGAGAAGCCTGCTTTTTAGTTTTGCCTGTTTTTCAGGGTAGGTTTTTATCTGGAGCACTAGTTCTCCAAGAATGGTCCCTGGACCAATAGTATTAATATCACCTGGGAACTTGTTATAAATGCAAATTCTTGGGCCCTAACTATGACCTACTACTAAGTTAGAAACTCAAAAACTCAGCAGTCTCTGAGAGGGTGTGTGTGTGTTACAAGCCTTTGGGTGATTCTGATCACATTCAAGTTTGAGGAGCCCTGATATGGAGAGCCTGGAAACTCACAATAAAATTGGACAGAACAGGGAGAGCAGTGCTGGTTGTGTATGGGGTGAGTAGGGTGGGAGGGAGCTGGGCAGGTGGGCACAAAAGACAACTTTTTCACGTAGCTTAGAAAACACCAAAAGGAAGGAGGAGAGGTCAAGCATTTGTGTCAGAATGTCTGCATCTTGGTTTTGCGAAGGAGTTATGATGGTCTGTAGGCTTAAAATTTCTCAAAAGTAAAGCATCAACTTTCATATGAGTTCTAAATTCTATGGAAACTGGCTATCAGAAGTTGTGATTGGCAAATGAGTTGTTTATTAATACTGTTTTATAGACAAGATCTTTCATAAAATCTCTTTTCTTGGAAGGGAAAATAACAGAAATTGCTCTTTATATTGAAATTACTGAAACCCAACTTTAGGATCTGAGAAATTCACAAACCACCATCCCTAGTTGCAGAATAATTGAGAAGTAGTAGGGAAGGCTAAGGAAATAGGATCTGGGTCTATAGCCAGCTGTTTTTCAGAGCTCCCTTGTGAGGTTTAAGATGGGAAGGTTAATGAAAGGAACTAATTCAAGTTGTGCCTGGACATGAGTGGTGTTTTTGGCATGCCCTTGGTTGTGTTAACACATGGAACCGTTGTCCTGAAGTTTTTGAAATCACACCACCTAAGAAGCAGTATGTTTCCTGTCTTGAACATTTGTGGGAAATTCAGAAATATATGGTATGTGTATGTAGACTCTCAGGAGTACGATTGTGGTTTTCCCGAGCCAGATTCTAGCCTGTGCTATTCTGGAAATTAACTGTGAGGGAGAAGATCCTGTGAGTCTGGTAGGGTGTGAATTTGGCCTGAAGTTCCCCCTTTATCTACTTTCAGAACAGTTACTCTGCTCCCGAATTTTCCTTCCAAGGAGTTGGTGTTGTGTCCCAAGATAGAGCTGCGTGAGACTGATCGTATTAACCGGTCCTTTGATAGTGTTTGACAAAGAGCCTCCAGTTTCCCAGAATGAGGTCCTGTTAAGAGGAGAGAAAATTGGGATGTCCAGCATGAGTCCTAGCCCTCTGAGGATGGTGGAGAGAGAGATGGAGGCCGTTGGCCCTGAGGTGCTAGCTGGAATTCAGGCCAGCCTTGCATGACTGAGGCTTTGGTCCATTCCTCTCAGGATGCCCTGCCCAGACCGAGTGATGACGCCTCTCTGCCCAGTGGGGGCAGCGCTGGATTTGTGGCAACTCTCAGATGGCTGCCTGTCCCTACTTACTCCATAGATGAAGCAAACGCTTGATCTCCCGGGCTAAACAGTCAGGATGGTTGGGGTTACCATCTTGACATGGTTGGCACTCTGTGCCAGCTTCCCTGAAATGCAACCACACTGTTTTTTCATTCAGAAATTCTTGTGTCAAAGAACATGCATAGCAATGACTCTCTTTGAAAAAGTGCTACCAAAATTACAAGCTGACAGGCCAATCAGGGTGGCTTAAGGCACAAGTTCTGTTTTCTATTTTCATCTTTTCTTAGCATATTTTCTTTTTTTTTTTTTTTTTTTAGATTTTATTTATTTATTTGAGACAGAGAGAATGAGAGAGACAGAGAGCACATGACAGGGGGAAGGGTCAGAGGGAGAAGCAGGCTCCCTGCCGAGCAGGGAGCCCGATGCGGGACTCGATCCCGGGACTCCAGGATCATGACCTGAGCCGAAGGCAGTCGCTTAACCAACTGAGCCACCCAGGCGCAGCATATTTTCTTTTTTTAAGCAATGTGCTTCTTAGGTGATTTGACTGCATATGGACTAAAGGTTCTCCTTTCTAACATAAAACTAGAAGAAATTCAAATTAAAAATTATTTCCTTTTTTTGAAAAAAAATCACATTACTTGGATGCAGCAATTCCACTTCTAGAAGGTTATCCTAATAAAGTATGTACCAAAATGTACAAATGAGCTGTTCATTTTGTAACATTATTTATAACAGTGAAGACTTGGAATCAACAAAATGTCTCTGTAATGACTAAATAATGTGCTATAGTGTAGCCTTTTAAAAGATTGAGGTAATTTATGGTGCTTATGGAGAAACAGCTCTAGAACATTAGGGGAAAAAACAGACTTCTAGTTTCTAGCCCAGCATATAAGGAAAGAAATTAAATCAATAATTAATAACCTTGCCAAACAGAGAGCACCAGACCCAGATGAGTTCATTAGAGATTCTACCAAACATTTAAGGAAGAAATTATACCAATTGTTAAGACAATCTCTTCCAGAAGTTAGAAGCAGAGGGAATACTTCCTAACACATTCTATGAGGCCAGCATTTACCCCTCATACCAAAATGAGACAAAGTCATCACAAGAAAGTAAAACTACAGACCAATAACTAATGAACATAAATGTAAAAATCCTCAACAAAATATTAGGAATTTGAACCTAGCAATATATAGAAAAGAATTATACACCAGAACCAAGTGGGATTTATCCCAGGTGTGCAAGCCTGGGGCAACATTCAAAAATCAGTTAATACAACCCATGATATCAACAGGCTAAAGAAAAAGCATGGGATCATATTGATAGATACAGAAAAACATTTGCTTAACGACTGAGCCACCCAGGCGGCCCCAAAAATAGGTTTTTTAAAAAGCAGGTATCAGTAATACATATGATACAACCTTTTTTATGTTAAAGACCACACTCACACACAGAACTATACCTACCTAGGGGCCCCTGGGTGGCTCAGTCAGTTAAGCATCTGCCTTCAGCTCAGGTCATGATCTCAGGGTCGTGGGATCGAGCCCTGTGTCAGGCTCCCTGCTCAGCGAGGAGCCTGCTTCTCCCTCTCCCTCTGCCTCTGTGCTTTCCCTCCCTCCCTCTCTCTCTCTCTCTCTCAAATAAATAAACTCTTTTTAAAAAAAGAACACTACATCATGACATAATGTATGGTGATTAACATAACATAATAAAATAAAATTTTAAAAAAAACAACTTACAGCAGGTAGGACTGACCCAGGGATAGGGAGGGTGTGGATGAAGTCACAGCAAACTCTGTGGCATAATTTTCTAACTTGTTTGGAATTCGGCTAACCTGGATGTCTCACTAGTTTTTGTAGAATACCATAAACTTATGATATATTAAATTTTAATTTCAAATAAATAAGAACTATACCTATCTATACCTACCTAAGTCTGTCTGTATGTTGGTATATATTTATACCTCTGTCTGTATTTATTTGTGTAGACCTAACGGGTAACAGTGACAGCATCAGAGTTGAGGCTGGGGGAAGCGAGAGGCCCCTTCCGCTGCACTTGATAGTCTGTAGCCTCTTAGCTTTTTGACAGAGAGTACCTGCTCACTTATGTAAGTAAGACAAAAAGGAGCTTGCTGCCAGGCATATGTTTCTGAATCTTCCTTTCAAGGAGATGTGAGAGGGTAATGATGCCTGGCAATTTCAAAATACAAAGTGGCAACAAGTATTTTGTTGAGTGCCTCATTTGGGCCCCGGCATTTGTCCAGGCTCTGGGGATGCCAAGGGCGAAGGAGAACTAGCCCCTGTGATCCCAGCTCAGGGTGCAGGCAGCACCCAGGGAGGGGGAGAGTTGTATTTAACCTGGTTTTCTCCCCGGCTGCGCAAGGGCTGCGTGCTTTGGGAAAGCTGATTGTGACTCCTTGTCCTCAGAGAAGCCATGTGGAGACCCGCCTTCATTCCCACACACCATCCTGCAGGGCCGCACGGGCCTGGAGATGGGGGACGAGCTGCTGTATGTGTGCGCCCCCGGCCACGTCCCGGGCCACCGTGAAACCGCCTTCACCCTGCTGTGTAATGGCTGTGGGGAGTGGTACGGCCTGGTGCAGGTCTGCGGGAAAGGTAAGCTGCCCCCACACCCTGGGAGCAGAGCCACCCCACTTGTGCTGGTTGGGCTCTTCTCCACAAAGGTCCCTTTGAAAGAGGCTTCCAGACCTTTCCCCTGGGTTCTGGAGCTGACAACATCTCCACTCTAACTTATTTAGAAAGTTTACCTGGAAATCTGATCAAGATGCGCTACCAGGAAAGAGCACTTGTGGGGAAAGGGACCCGGGACTGGTAAACTGGGCCAGGAGGGCTGTCATGAATGCAGGCTGCAAGCTGGGCTCCCTGAGTGGTGACTCTTGTGACCGGGCATAACCCTTGTAGGGACCTTGCAGGCTTTGCTATGGCTTGGGACAGGAGCTTCTGGCTCTTTGGGGCATGGGGCTTGGAACGCAGGGTGGGTCCACAGCCACACATGGAAGTCCTGCTCCCTTGCCCGGGAGCAGTCCTGGGGAGGTTGAGGCAGGGAGGATACTCTAAGACAGCTGTGTGTCCTGGTCCCACTGACGAGAGCCACCTGTCGCTGCCCTGCAGCCTTGCTCTATTCCCTGGCCTGTAGCCTATGGCAGTCACGTGAGCTGACATACTTAGTTGAGACTGAAAAGACTCCTGGTGGGCCTCGACAGAAACCTGATGTGGTTCCCCTAGATGTCCTCACTCCATTATTGTCGTACACCTGGGGGTCACAGGCTTCTGCATCCCACCTCTGCCCAGCCCCTTGGGGATTCTCCCAGTAGCAGAAATCACTGTCCCCAGCCACAGCCTGACCTGGCCTCCCCACTCTTGATCTTATGGCTTCATGCCCGACTCTAAATTGTTCCCTGACCTCACAAGGCTCCTCTTACCCTAAGACTCCTTTGGGGGCTGCTTCCTGACCCCCATGATATCTGGGTAACAAGCGGAGGCTAGCTCCATGGAGGGGAATGACTCCAGCACCACAATGTGAATGAATTTATCAGGCAGTCTGTCCCCAGAACATCCTGCAGATCCCATGGGACCATGCTGAGACTAGGGCACTGTCTTGTCGTCGAGATTCATCCACGTTGTTGCCTAGGCTGTGGTTTGTTGTCTTCACTGCTGTTTACTAAGTGTGAATACAGCACTGTTTATTTCTCCAATGTGCTGGTGGACGTTTGACTTGTTTTCATTTGGTGGCCATCACAAGCTCTCTTGCCATGGTTGTGTTCATCCAGGTCATGTGGTTCACATGTGAATATATTTCTGCTGGTTCCTGGGAGTGGAATTGCTGCCCATGGGGTAGGTGTGTCTTCAGCATAAGTGGATGCTGCCAGAGAGTTTGCTAAACTATTCCGACCACTTTACTCTCTTGTTGGTCAGCATCCTCACCAGCCTTCGGGATTGGGAGACTTTTACCTTTTTGCCAATCTGGTGACTACCCTGGGCTGACTTAGTTGTAATATGCATTTGTCTGGTTGAGCACTTACTACATTTTAAACAGGCACTAGCATTTCCTCTGTAAAATGTCTACCCAAGTTTCTTGCCCATTTTTCTAATTGATTCAAATTATTTACATAAGGTAGGATTTCTTTTTTACATAAAACTTTCATAATAAGTTGCAAACATTTTCTCTCATTCTGTGGCTTATCTTTCTCCTCTTGGAGGATCTTTTAATGAAAAGGATTTTTTTCCTTTTATTGTTTATTTCACTACTTCTCAAACTTTCTGTGGACCATTAAAAATTGTTTTCTAGTATTGGCAGACTGATACCTTAGCAAAATACAGTAAAAAATCAATTAATATAAAGCTAAAATAGGGACACCTGGGTGGCTCAGTCGGTTAAGCGTCTGCCTTCAGCTCTGGTCATGATCTCGGGGTTCTGGGATCCAGCCCCACATCGGGCTCCCTGCTCAGCAGGGGGGCTGCTTTTCCCTCTCCTTGCTGCTCCCCCTGCCCATGCTTGCACACACACACACACGCTCTCTCTCTCTGACAAGTAAATAAATCTTAAAAAAATATATGAAACTAAAATAAAGATATTCCAGATACAAACACGATTTTTTGTTCAATTAAATGGACATAAAATTCCCCTGCCAAATTGTTAGGAAAGCTTCTCAGAACATCCTCTCAGGTATCTACATGCCTCATTGCAGGCTAGCAACCAAAGTTACAGACTGGGACAAGCACTAGAAGCACTGTTTGAGCAATCTTCCGGCACTTTCCTCATCATTATAAGATTGCTGTTGTTTTGTGGCAGGCAGGAGCTCCCTGCCAATCCTGATCATTGACCTGCAGCAGATGATCAGGCATAAGGCTCAAGCTTGCCGCTTGTGGAGTGTGTCACCTCAAAGCAGACCCATACCCACCCTGAGATTGATAACGAGCTGGCTTTGTTTCTGGTGAGGCTCAAGCCTGGCCATCTCAGGAGCCACACTCACCAGCCAAATGGGCTGTTTACAGGCCCCGGCCGAATGAGAACTAAAAGCAAGTTTTGTTTGTCTGCAATGGTGTTTATTTTCTCACGGCAAGGCAGAGTTTTTGGAGCTTTCAGCTGGTGGGCAGGAATTCTGCTTTCTGTACTTGGCTGAGTATACAGACTGTTAAGAGATTTTGTCGCCCTGTAGATTTAACATTTAAACTAGCTGTGTCATTATAAGGGGTGTGTGTGTGTGTGTGTGTTACAAGACTGTCTTCACCAGGGATTTCAGTCCCTCTTGCACATTTATTTTTATAGTGACATCCATTTTTTTGATGAGGGAACAGCTTCAAATTGGAGAACAGTCATCTTGGGAGAGTGGGCCACACAAGGGTTGGACCCAGGTGGGTTTGGATGAGAGCTCTTCCTTGTAGGGGCTGATTGGCCACTCACTGCACATCCCTTCCTGTGGCAGGACCCAGGTGCTGGGTGTACAAACTGAAGCAAAGCTGTCCCATCACTAAAGGCAACTCTATAAACCAGGTGCCTCAAAGGAGACAGAAGCAGTAGCTGATGCAGTGGAAAGGAGAGCTGGAAAGCAAGGTGAATTTTAAAGGAAGTGTGTGTTTCCAGATGGTGGAAGTGCTCAATGACGCCAAAGGCTGCAGACATCAAGTAAATGAAAGCTACAGATGTGCGCCTTGGCTTCACAGCATGAGAAGGTTCTGGTGGTCTTGTATTTTCAGTGTGAATGTGGGGAGTGGGATGCTGCTGGGCCACACTGCAGTGAGTGCAGGAATGAACTGGGATGAGAAGAGGGTGGGGGGCAGACAATTCATTCTTGAATCTCTGGGGCTCATGAAGAGCACTAGGCAGAGTGCTGGAAGAGGATCAGGGGACCAAAGAGATTGTGGGGGTTTGTATTGTTTGCTTGCTTCTGTTATTTTTAGGTTGGAGAGATGGCAGTTAATGTAAATGACAATGGAAAGGCTTGGAAGAGAAGGGGAAACAATTATTTTCTTGACTTCCCTGAACCTTAATTTGCTCATATGAGAACATGGATACTAGTTTTCACATAGATTCCCCCATGGGCTTCTTGCAGGTGCCTCACTTAGAACAGGACCTGCGAGGTGAATGGGCTCAAGGAGTGTTCTTCTTTCCCTTTCACCTTCATGCTGATCCAGGAGAGCATTCAGGCCTCCTCACTTACAGGATCTAAGGGGCTCTGTGCATGACTCTGGCTCCCTCCCCACTTCCTTGTGGGTTATTGACTCTAGCCCCTATTACCAAGGGTCACCAAAGGCATCCTCTGACTTAGAGCTGTCTGTTCCTTGAGTGAGTAGTTAGCCTTTGCCAGCAGGTGTCTTGGGTCCTGGAAACCAGAAACTGGGGCCACAGCTGCCTCACTCCTCCAAGGAGTGCTTGTCCTCTCTGTACTGGGGCCTGGCTCCTCACCCTCCTCCCCTCAGGCCCTCAGGACATGGGACATCCCCCCTACTCTTACCCCAGAGTATTTCCTTTTATTTCCTTGTGAGATGCTGGTGCTCACTCCAAACCCTCTGGTAGAAGCTGCCCGTAGATGCTGCCTCAGGAGCAGCTCTGCTGAGGTCATGGTAGGATCCTTGTCCCTTATTTCCCCTCTCGACCTCTCCAGGCCCAGAGAGCCTTCAGGTGTGAGTACCCTGGACATCAAGACTTAAAGAACTTGAGGGCTCCGATGAGTTTGGTATTGGAGATTCCCGAGGCTTAGGGGGTCAAGCTACCATGAAGACTATTCCATTCAAAGTTGGCATTGTATAGACATTTGAAGACTGACTGGACGCCTTGGGCCAGATTCTCTAAAAGCAGAGCCTGTTCAGATGCATGTGGTTTACTGAGGGAGGGAAGCAGGATAGGGAAGGAGAGGAGAGGATGTGACCTCAGAGGCCTTCTCCCTTTGCCCGATCTCATGAACTGTACCACAGGGTTGGTCCCACTTGGAAGCACGGAGGCCAGCCCTGAGTTCCTCCATCTCCATCTGTCATTGGTTGCCGGGGCTAGGTGGCATGGTGCGCGTGTGACACCTGAGCAGAGCTCCCATTCCCCCGAAGGCAGCTCTCCAGAGAAGGGGAACAGCTGTGAACAATTAGCTGCCCGCACTCACAGTGGTGGGTGCGGGTGCGCTGGCCCGGGAAGGGGCCTTGGATGGGGCGTCAACAGCGCCCTCTCCTACAGTGTAGACCATCAATACTGGAGAGCAGCAGTTTGTTTGTTTGATTGTTTGTTTGTTCTTTAGTCCATTAGTAAGGTGGGGACTTGCTGAATGAGCTTGCTGAAATTTAAAATTTGTAATGATGAGCATCAATGAACCCATAGGGGCATGTACACCTGGGTTGGTGGGGGGGCGGGTACAGGAGGATACCTTGCTCACACGCTGCCTGTGTGTTCACTGCAGTTAAGATCCAGCCTCAAGTGGTGGTAGTGAGGTCTCTCACCTAAGCATGGTGACTTTGTCCTTGACCATGAACTTAAATGGGTGAGGACTTATTTGACCACCATTTTTTCCTTCTCTGTGTTGGTATTTCTCTAGCTTTGGTTCCTAGAGACCAGGTCTGGATCTGGCCCTTTAGCTTTCCATTCTCCTGTCCAAATACACACATCTTCT